TTCTCCCACAGACCACACATTTCTCCAGAAGTTAGGTCAACAGCAGACCTAAACTTGGTGCTGGGCCTGCTTACTCTCTGTCAGACCACGTGTAGGAGTGGATTCCAGAGTGAGGGGCAAGCTCTGGACACCCAGCTTTCTTCTTTATTCGTAATTCAAACCAACCAGCACTGGCCAGAAGCCTGGCTTGTTGAGTCAAAACTGCATGAGCCATAGAGTGTAAGAGCAGCCCAACTCCAGGTACTCAAGGCATTAAAGTAAATCCCGTGCATGAGACGTTTCTGAATAACTTATTTGAAAGAAAAAAGTTGGCCAGTATAGAGTAGCAGTGTAGAATAAATATTATGTATGATCAACTCTGCTTTAGTCAGCTCGAGCTGTTATAACTAAATACCACAGGCTGGGTGATGTAAACAACAGACGTTTTATTGCTCACAGTTCTGGAGGCTGGAAGTCCAAGATCAAAGTGCCAGCAGATTCAGGGATTGGTGACAGCCCTCTTCCTGGCTTGTAGTCATCCAACTTCTTGCTGTATGCTCACTTGGCATTTCTTTGTGGCAGGTGCATGAAGAGGGAGAAAGATATGTCTCTTCCTCCTCTTATAATTATACTAATCCCATAAAAAGGGCCCCACCCGGATGACCTCATCTAACCCTAATTACCTCCCAAAGGCCCCACCTCCAAATATCATCACACTGAGGGTTAGGGCTTTGGTGTATAAATTTTGAGGAACACAAACATTCAGTTCACGGCAAACTTGAATAAAGAAATAAAACTTTCTGTAATATTTCATACTAATGCTATGGAGTAAATGACCTGAGGACTGCCAAAATCTAGGTGGTGCCAGAGTTAATTTCCATAAGTTAATGAAAAGACGCTCATTAAAACTCATTTGAATACTTGAATATTCCATGGCACTTGGTGTATTTTTTTGTACTGAAGTGTTATGGTCATTTCTATGTTGAAATTTTATGTTTGGTAAAATCCTATTTCATAATAGTAGGAGTAATTTTTGCCCTTACTAAAACTCATCTTAAAAAATAAACAGGATGAGATATTTCTCTAGATGCCGCTTTGTTCCCATTTAAGGCAAAACTGTTTGAAAGAAATGTCTATGCCTATTGTCTTCCAGTTTCTGTCCTCCCGTTCCATCAGGCTCTTGTCCTGTCTACTGCACTGAAACAGTTCTGGTGAAGATAATCAATGACTTCCCTTTGCCAAATCTAATGACTCGGTTCTTGGTTCTCAACTTAGATGACTTGGCAGCAGCATTTGAAACGATCCCTCCCTTTTTCTTGAAATATTTTTTGCACTTGGCCTCTAGTACCCACACTCCCTTCGTTGTCCTCCTCACCGGGACCCCTTCTCAGCCTCCTTTGCTCAGTCTCCCTTATCTCCCTGACCTCTCAATGCCCAAGGGTTAGTCCCTGGATCCATTGTCATCTTTATCTATAATCTCTCCCTAAATGATTTTATTCTGACTCACGGCTACACAGACAAGCAACATGCCGGTGACTCCACGTTTATATTTCCAATCTGGACCTCTCCACTGAAATCCAGGATTGTATGCCCAACTGGCTAATTTGACATCTCAGATATTTAAAAGATGCCTCAATTTTAATATGTCCAAAATGGAACTCCTGATTTCCACCCCTAAATCTGATTCTCCTACAGTCTTCCCTATCTCTGTAAACAGCAATTTCATCTTTCTAGTTGGTCAAGACAACAAAACTTGGAATCATCTTTGGTTCTTCTCTTCTCTCGCATACCACATCTGATCCATCAGCAAACTCTTTGGCTCTTCCTTTGTACGTCCTGCACACAGCCATATGATACCACCTTCACCGCCACCACCTGATCCGGTCTTCTATGATCTCTTCCCATGGATGGTTGCAAAGCCTCCTAAACAGGCTCTTTGCTTCAGCTTCTGGCCCCTAATGTCGATTTATCTCACGGCAGCCAAAAATGATGTTCTTAAAATATGTCAGATTACAGCACTCCCGTGTTCAAAGCCTTCTCATAGTTTCATATTGAGAGACTAGATATCAAGCAGACAACGGACAGACCACGTGTTAAAATACAACTCTGACCACAACCTACAGCAAATTGGGAAGCCAAACCACAACCTCTGTAGCAATTGGCCCAAAATGGTTAGGACTTGATCAATAACTGACAATTTCCTTAATTTTTGTCCTCACTTCCAACTTAAGACAAACCAGAGAAAGCCAAATGTTCTCTCCTAACCAGTCACGTAGGATCCCGCTTCTAGTTAGCCTGCCTACAGCCCTTCCCTGTGCCAACAGCCTCCAATCAGGGCACACCTGAAGCCTTCCTTTATTCCACTATACAGCTTCCCACTCCTCTGCCTGCCTTTGAGTCTCTGCCAAAACTCAGTTGACAGTGGCTGACTGCCTGGCTAGAGCAAACTCTGAGTAAATAGCTTTCACTTGTTTTCATCCGATTGGGTGGTCTTTGTTTATTTCCACAATATCGTACTCTGAGTAAAAACCAAAGACCTTCCAATGATTTGAAAGTTCCACATGGTCCACCCACCACCCATGCCATCACCACTTCTCTGGCCCCATGTCCTACCCTCTCCTCCTTGCCCAATTTACTCAAACCATGTTGGCATCCTGGCCATTCCTTGTACACACCTGGCACAACCTGACCTGAGGGCCTTTTCACTTGTTCATCCCTTGGCTTGGAATTCTCTCTAAGTTATTCACTTAGGGCATCTCGTAACCACCTTGCAATCTTTGCTCAAATGTGACTCTATCAGAGATACTTTCCTGTATAACACAGACACATCAGGCATATACCCTGCCCCAGCCCTCCCTATCCCCCTCAGCACACTCTGCTTTCTTCATATCATTTGTTGCCTCCTGACATACTATGTACATTTTTTTCCTGAGGAAGGTTTGCCCTGAGCTAACATCTGTGCCAATCTTCCTCTGTTTTATATGTGGGTCGCCACCACAGCATGGCTGCTGACGAGTGGTGTAGGTCTGCACCTGGGAACCAAACCCGGGCCACTGAAGCGGAGCTTGCCAAACTTAACCACTAGGCCACAGGGCTGACTCCTGTATATTCTTTTATATTTGTTTATTTTCTTCCTCCTCCCCATCCCCAACTAAAAGGAAAACTCCATGAGACCAGGGATTTTGTTTACTTCTGTATCCCCTGTGCCTAGTACAGTGTCTGGCAAGTAGAAGTCACCCAATCAATGTTTGATAAATGCATAATTAGTTATAAAATCTTCTATCCACAGATCTTTTTTTTGTGTGTGTGAGGAAGATCAGCCCTGAGCTAACATCCATGCCAATCTTCCTCTTTTTTTGCTGAGGAAGACTGGCCCTGAGCTAACATCCGTGCCCATCTTCCTCCACTTTATATGGGACGCTGCCACAGCATGGCCTGACATGCCGTGCATCGGTGCGCACCCAGGATCCGAACCCAGGCCGCCAGCAGTGGAGCGCCCGCACTTAACTGCTACGCCACAGGGCCGGCCCCAGATCTTTCTTTTTTAATGGTGCCATTTTAAAAATTGGTGTATTAGAGTCCCAGGAGAAAAAAAATAACACACTCAAAATGAGTGATTTTAAAAGAATTTAATAACATGATTGTTTATAAAGGCGAGGGCAAGGCTTGGGAACCCACCAGGCATCGTAAAGTGCTTCAACGCTGTAAGAGTGGGCACCATTACCACCTCCAGGCCTGAGGAGAAAGAGAAGTTAGCTGAACCCAGAGAGTGAGCTAGGGCCACAGCAGACACTATGACTTTTATTTGGGAGTTGCAGCCAGCTGTGGAACCCTGAGGGGAGCCAGGGGAAGGAATGCCAACCTCTCTCTGCTCTTGCCCTCCAAGCTCCGGCCTGTGCTCCCCTCTGGCTGACCCGACTGGAAGCCAGAGCTCAAGGGAACCCTTTGATGTGGTTCATGTTAGCCAGCTCCTAGGGCACCAGGCAGGATGGAGAGGGTGGAACATGGACCTCCATGGCCTGTATCCGCTATTCCAGCGTCCTTTTATGATCATCAGAGCAGTGTGGCTTACTGTTTTAAAAATAACCATGAAGGGTTTTCTGTGTGTATGTGAGAATTTCAGTGAAACAGACTCCCAGTCAAATACCCAAGTATCTGTCTGGACGTTATCATGTCAAACTATTGAACTAAATGTTTTATTGAACTAAACATACTTTTACATTGAAGTGTATTTCTAAACAATTTAATTATGCCATTTTCATTATTTAGTGTACCTTTCAATTACCTTAAAAATGAATTATTGAGATTGATAATATTATATAAATATAATGTTGTATACTGTGTGTTATCGTTATTCCTCTAGGGGAGGAAAGAAACCACAGACATGTTCCTTACAGCTGGTAAATAGATTTATGAATTCTAAAAGAATTGCTACTTAAAAAATAACAAAAACACCAAGCGTTGAACAATACATTCTTATATTTTTGATCATTAATCATTCAAAAGGAACACATTTGGCGTAAAAAGAACAATAGAGTAAACATTACAAAATCTGAGTTTTAATCCTGACTCCACTGGTAGGAGCCCTTGGCAAGTAAGTTCAACTCCATGAGCCTGAGTTTCCTCATCTGTACAGAGGTGGGACAGGATGCATTCTGAGGTCTCTTCCACCTCTAAAATTCGACCACTCCACTGGAAGGTGTTGATCTGTGCCCAGAGAACAGAGTTGGACTTAAAGGAAGTGTGTCAGCAGCACTGATGAATTAAGAAAAAAAGCAATTACTGGAGATAAAAGCAATGTTGGGTTTTATTTCTAGGTTAAGAATTCACTGGCCCAGAGTCTGCACACTTTATACCTACTTCCCTCTCCTACCTCCTTCCCCTCACACTGGGATATTCTAAAAGAGTATGCAAAGGGGAAAAAATCAGCCATTAAAGCAATTTTAGTTTGCATAGGATTATTTCAGAGATAAGAAGCTCAGACAAAAATAATAGTGGCTGTGCTTGTGTTTTTTCCTTAGAATCAACTGTATTTATTCCCCAGTCTGAATACTCCATTGAAGAAGATGTTGGTGAACTGTTCATTCCCATCAGGAGGAGTGGAGACGTGAGCCAGGAGTTGATGGTGATCTGTTATACGCAACAAGGTAGCTAGATTTGTAAAGGAGCTAAAATGTCCCCCAAAAGATATAAATAAATAAGCCTCCTTAACATGTTGGAGCCATAACATTATGCCATGCGAGGTATGCCTTGTTATTACAATTTTTACAAATAAAAAAAGCATTTATTCAGAATCTTCCTTCACTGTTGCACCATTGAGGCGTCCTCTAAGTGGACCTGCTTTTCAAAAACTTAGCTGATTTACTTGGTTATTCATTCTAATGCTCAAGGCTTTTTGGATTGTAAGAAATTGAAGCCCCACTCCCCCACCCAAGCCTGCTCTAGTAGAAGGGAATTATTGTTAAAAAACAAAAATAGAGGCAAAGAAATGCATACCCAAGGAAAAGAAACTAATTTCAAACTAGTTTGAAACTCATTTCAACCAAATTTCAAAATATTTGTTTTGCTCATAGGTAAGCATCCTCTGCAAGGTGATTTTATGTAATACAAAATCAAAATTAATACTTAGTATGTATTAATATACTAAACATCTTTCTAGGAAACAGGTAGACTTTCTCAGAATGCAAAGGAAAGGTCATATATACTGTTGATATCTGAGCAGACCTTTGTTAAAATTTCCGTTAATGTATATGAGTTGAAAGGCTATAAGGAATAGTGATTAAAATTGCAGACTTAAGAATCAGCCTTGGGCTCTGAGTCCCAGAGCGAGTGGTTTAACTTCTGTAAACCTCAGTTACCAAATGCATAAAACCCAGTGGAGTGGTTGAGAGGATTAATGAGGCAGTGCCTGTAAAGAGCTTGGCTCCTTGCCTGCACACAGTAAGCATTGGAACAGTAGGAGCTGTTATTTTGTAATATTGTGTTGTTCTAAAAGACCACTGGCAGAAGGGAGAGGAGAAAACACTTAAAATGTCATATCCGTTGTATGTGTGAGACCATTATGAAGTGACTCATGATGCTAGAACAGGATGTAGGTGCTATTGCAGTTTCCAAGGGTGTTCGTATATACAAATTGATCATTAAAATGCTGCATATGAAAAAAATTGTTTCTGGAAATACTCTTGTAATATGTGCTACATAAACACCTTTTGGATTCTCTCTGTCTCCAGGAACGGCGAGTGGAACTGTGCCAACATCCGTGCTGTCCTATTCTGATTACATATCCAGGCCTGAGGACCACACCAGTGTTGTCCGCTTTGACAAAGATGAGCGGGAGAAAATGTGCCGGGTTGTTGTTATTGACGACTCCTTGTATGAAGAGGAGGAGACATTCCATGTCCTTCTGAGCATGCCTATGGGTGGGAGAATTGGATCAGAGTTCCCAGGAGCTCGGGTTACAATCATCCCTGACAAAGACGATGGTAAGTACTAATTTACCTGAAAATTATTCCTCCTCCCAGGCAGATCAACATCAGGCACAACCTTCTAGACAGAAAAATGAGAGCGTAAAAGAATTGTAACATGCACATTTATTTTATGCTTGATTTTATAGTGTGGATAATTTTTAAAGTTGGCTGCATCAATCAGTTTGGTTTCCTTGATTTAATGGTTTTAAAGGGCAAAAGTCACATCTATGTGTGTTTTTTCCTCTGTACGGTTTCTTTTACAATATCATTTACCATTAGGTGATAAAACTTAAAATTTCATGGTGAAGAATTGAAGCAATTTTGATAAACTTAATTTATTTCCTTTTTGTTCGTTTTGCTTTGCTTTTAAAAGCTTATATTTTTTAACTTTAATCTCAGTGTTTCAACTCGTTTAACAAAGAAATCCATTAGACAAGGCTGTTAAATGAATAACTAGAAAGGTAATAAGTATACAGGAAATTAAGTCCAATAGGCAGATCTCTGCCCCAAAAAGGAAGAGGGTTTATCCTAGATTGCTCTGCCTGAGGGCAACTAAATTACCATAAAATAATCCTTCTTTCTGAAGGGAAAAAGGAGCAAAAGGGTCTTAGTCTTCCCGGTTCAATAAACAGTTTGTGCTTTCTCGTGAGAAAAGAGAACAAGAGGACAGATTGTGGGTAATCTTGTGAGGAAAGTGAGAGCAGTAAGCTGAGAGAGAGGACCCCCAGGACTTGGATATTTTTCTTTCCCTCTTGATTTTTCCTCATGGTGGATGAAAGAGGATTAAACTGAGGGGATGAATCTTTCGGGTCAGAGAGTAGCTGGAGGAGAGTCCAAAGATGATCATCCCACATATCTGAAAACTCAGGAAGTTTGAGACTAACCTACCCAAGGAGGGCCTGTGATAGTTAAGTGATGGTCAAGTTAAAAAGGTAGTGAGGTGTATCTTGTGAGCTTATCCTCTGTGCCAGGCACAGTGCTGGGTCCTCTGTGCATCCTCTTCCTAAGAAGGCTGTGAAATATATAAGAATGTCCGTTTCTTCCTGAAAAGGTTTCAAAACATTGGTGATGAAAGTTAGGAATGATTTTATCGAGGGGTTTGAAGAAAGTCTTGATTCTACCTTAAACTTAGATAATCCCCTGTGGCTTTAGTTTATTAGTTTAATGAACAGTCCTATTATGTGCTTAAATGAAGTATGGAATTTTTATTTTAAATTCAGTTTATCTTGGAGAGGAAGCCAGTATTTTGAATGTCAGCCAAAACAGAATTAATAGTCCACACTAAACACCTATCTGCTGTCTAGATATCTATCTCTCTATTTTTATTACTATAGATAGAAAGATAGAGATAGATTTAATTTAAAAATAGAAAATATAATTAACGATTTCTTTAGTTCAGTTTGTTTTGTTGGCAAAACATCTTTCCCATACAAATTGTTACGGGACACACATGGGAGAAAAAATAAAGGTATAGCAGAAACCATTATTTATTAGGTGCCAGGCATTTTCACGTACATTGCTAAATCTTTTCCAGAGTGAAGGATGATGTCATTATCCCTCTTTTACATATGACAGGACTGAGCCTTTGAGAGGCCAGAGATTGACTTGAATTTGCAGAGCTGGTACACAGCCAAGTCAGTATCCAGGCCCCAAATACATGACCTTTCCATGCTGTCACTGCCTCTAAACTGGTCCCTAGTGGTGACAAAGTTGTGGAACCATTGGTACGGTATCTACCGTTGCATAATGTTTATACAATACTTTACTATTATCAGTGTTTCATTTGAGCTTTACAGTTCCCTGGGGTAGACAGTGCAAGTGGTATCATGAGTGGGGTAGCCAGACCTCAGAGAGCTGCTCGCCCCAGAAGAGGGCTGGGGAGTTTTGGTGCCACAGGCTTTGATTTTTTTTTTTTTTTTTTTTTTTTTTTTGGTGAGGAAGATCAGCCCTGAGCTAACATCCATGCTAATCCTCCTCTTTTTGCTGAGGAAGACCGGCTCTGAGCTAACATCTATTGGCATCCTCCTCCTTTTTTTTTCCCCAAAGCCCCAGTAGATAGTTGTATGTCATAGTTGCACATCCTTCTAGTTGCTGTATGTGGGACGTGGCCTCAGCATGGCCAGAGAAGCGGTGCGTCGGTGCGCGCCCGGGATCTGAACCCCGGGCCGCCAGTAGCGGAGTGCGTGCGCTTAACCGCTAAGCCACGGGGCCGGCCCCCACAGGCTTTGATTTTAAGGCTTCTTTGTATCATGCAAACAGTGGACCAGAAGTTTGTCGGGAGTGCTGTCAGCAATCATCACTCCTTCATTCACCCAACCCCTGTTTACTACATCAGAAGTCCTGTGGATACTTCTCTGTTTTCTCCCCTCCGTCCTTTTCCTTCCACCTCTAACACCACTGTTCTAGTCCAGAGAGACCCTTTTCAACCCAATGTAGATTATAATAAACTCCTCACACGTCTCACAGCCTGGTATGTCATCCCATGCAAACCCTTGTACCCATTGACACCAATTTAATCTTTCCTAAATGCATGCCATGCATCTCCTCAGCATATTACCATCATCAGGAGGCTGGGCATATTCCCCTTCCCCCATTCAAGAGCCGGCAATACACAAGTGAGAAAAAATAAAGCTTTGCTTCATCTGTTCTCGTGGTGTAATGGCTGAGAAACCTATAAAGCTTATTTCTTAATTAAGACCAAGATTTATAAATGCTATTCAACAAATATTGTAATTTTTTAAAAAAAAATACAATGGCCTGTCCAATTGCAGGATAAGGAAGAAGGAAAAAAGAGAGAGAGAGAAAAGGAAAGGAACAGAGAGGGAGGCACAGAGAGAGTGGCTTTCAAGAGAGCAAATTAAAGACAGGCTGAGGACTAAGAACAGGACAGTCCAAGAAATGAGTGGAGGGAATGAAAGAACAGTACAGGTAAGGGAGACTAGAGACAAGCGCAGGAGGGTCTCCACCGTCAATAAACCACTTCTGTCGCATCCCGTGTGGGGGGTGATTCACTCTCTTCACATTTCTTGAAATGCCGTTAGCAAAATAAACACAATTTACAGTTCTTCAACTACTTTATTTTTAAGTCTTCAGCAGCTGAGCAATGACGTAACTATGACCTACCACAAGGAATTATTCTCTGGACCATGTAACCAAGTAGGTGGCACAGATTCCCCCTGAGGTTTGATCTCCACCCTGAGGTTTAAATTGCAGTGATCCAGCTTGGTATTCAGGTTCGTAAGAAATAGCTTTGGGAAGGCTTACCTATTTACCTTATCCACTGCTGCCTCACCACGGACTTCTTTTGGATGACGTATTTCAGAGACTTGCCCACTGGCTAAATGATGATTTATAGTATTTCTTTAGAGTGAAATCTTCTGATACTTGAGAAATCAAGTGATGATTAATATATCAGATGTCACCTTTATAAAATTGACAATATTGACCTAAAATCTCTAGGACTTACACTCAGGGCTCAATCATTCCTCTTCATTCACTCATCACAGTTTGTTTCTTCCTTGACAGTTCTCAGCATCATTTATTTCTTTCTCTTGTCTTACTGAGCTATGTAGGACGTTTACTATAATGTTGAATAGAGACAGTAGAATAGACATCTTTGTCTCCTTGTCTGACTTGAAAGGAAATATTTATAATGTTTTACCATTTGGAATGATGTATGCTGTAGGATTCTAGTAACATTTTATCAGGTTAAGGAAGCACCTAGTTTGACAAGAGCTTTTATCAGAAATAAGTGTTAAATTTTATCCCCCCAAATTTTCTGCGTCTATTGTAATATCATGGAGTCTTTTTTTCCTTCATTGTGTTCATACAGTGACTTGCATTTTTAGATTTACTAGTATTAAGCCATCCTTACATGCTTGAATAGACTTACTTATTCATGACATATTTTTTATAAATTACTAGATTAAATTTAAGAATATTTCATTTATTATTTTTGCACCTATATTTATAAGTGAGATGGGGTTTAGGTTTGTTATTTGTCTAATTTTAGAATCAAGTTTAGCCTCATTAAATGAGTTGGAATACTATCCTCTTTGGTTTTTTCTCTGGAAACTTTAAATAAAATTGAGACGATTAGTTTTTGCAGGTTTGGTAAAACTATAAAACCACCCATATATATTTAACTAGATTTTGGCCTACTGTTTTAATTTTTTAAATAGTTAGGTATATTTAAGTTTTCTATTACTTCTTAGATTTAGTTATTCTTTTCTAAGGAAACTATCCACATCATCTACCTCTCTAAATTAATGACATAAATTTGTTATAATATTCTCTTAAGATTTGTTTGTTTCTCTTATACCTGTATGTTTGTCTCCTTTTTATTCCTAGTAATGCTTATTCTCTCTCTGGCTCTGTCTCTCTTTCCCTTTCTTTTTCTGTTTTCTTTTTCAACCAATCTTTCCAGAAGTTTGTATATTTTATTAGAATTTCTTTAACCTAATTTTAGTTCTGGGTTTTCTTTTGGTAATTTCTATTACTTTCACTTTCTGCTTCATTAATTTCTATTCTTCACTCAGATCTATCTTTCAGTTGGCTAGTTCTGTCTATACTATGTCTATTTTGCCATTTAACCCATCTATTGAGATTTTTATTTCAATAACTGTACTTTCATTTTGAAAAGTTCTGTGTGGCATTTTTTCATTTTGTCTTTTCATTTCTATCATGTCTTATTTTTTCTTTATATAAATTTCTTCTTTTATGTATTTAGTAATTTTAAACATTTATTTTATAATCTTTATTGTACCATTTTCTTATTGAAGATCTTAAAAGATCCAAATCTCCTGTAAATTGGTTCTGTTGCCTCCTGCTCAGGGTATATTATTTCCTTGTGCATGCTAATTTTGGATCATGAACTCATTTTTAATGAGACTTTATATGTGGGAAACCTGTACAACCTTGGTTCAGAGATTAAACCCCCAGAGCAGTTTTGTGTTTACATTTGCCAGAACCAATTTTTATGTTAATTTTCTTTTCATTTGAAGAGTTCCAACCTT